TTTGTTGTCCAGGAAATCTATGTAATTATTCTTTGATTTTATTCTTTGTAGTTACCCCATCCAGTTCCTCTTTTATTTACTTACTTACGACACAACTCAACTTTTAACCTCCTATAAGTGATACAAAATGTAGGCAAATTATAACCGTGACAATATAATAACAGTACAATCCTTATAAGTGCTCTTATAGGAAAAATATAAAGTTGTAGTTGTATTATCTTTTATTATTCACTAGTTAGTTTACAAGTTAGTTTCGATTTCAGCTGCTTATTAGCAATTGATTTATCATAATATAATGTTAAATAAATCTATTAAGTACATGTTTCAGATGCAGTGTGTCCAATTAAGTCAGCATCGTATGGGAAATTTTTTTATAATTGATTTTACGAAAAAAGTTATTCTTTGTGAACAGTTGTGCATGGTCTAAAACCTCAAATCCAACCATCAGACACAAATCAATTGTATCAAATTTATCTTATACGATGTATTCCAAATAATATGAAATTTGCTGAGGAGTAAAGTACCTTTATGTTTCATAATAATAAAAATTGTTGTAAAAAGTTGTTTGGTATTAAAAACTATGTTTTAATATGTAATTAGATACATTCTTTTAATCGAAAACAAAAATTGTTATTTTTCTTTTGTAAAATTATTTTCAAAAAAAACCTCTTTCGTTCCAATAAAAAATAATAAGAAAATTTTCACAAAACATGAAACTTAATACATTAAAAATCTAAGCAACGTCAAATTTGCTTTAGTTGCTATCTAGAAGCCATTGGAATCTTAGGTTGCCATGTAGGTTATCTAAGAAATATTCAAACAGAACAACATAATTTTAAAGAAAATGTAAAACATATTAAATTTTGCACAATCCAAAGGGTTTTGACCCAGGTATTTAGTGGCCCAACTTTTGCGCAATTAGTTCTTTAAGGAAAAGTAGAAGGAAAACGCGGACCAGAAAGGCTAAGGATTTTATGATTGAACAATCTACCAACGTGGATTAACACAACGACCACACATCTTTTCAGAGCCGTAGTTTGCAAAATACAGATACAACATCCGAAACGGATAGGAATTACAAGAAGAAGAAGAACTCATGTGGAACGAGTAACAAAACACTGATGATGGGCTTAATGTTAAACAATGACAAGCTTCAAAAAGGTAAAACTGACATATTTGACTTTGAATGTTATAAATAATATAAAATCCAGTAACAACTTATTCTTTTAGTTTAGATATGTCAATGCATCATGCCCTAGTTACAACAATATTAATAAAATTACTCCAAACTTGGGAAAAAATGGTCTTTATTTAAAAAAAATGTATCGTGTTACATTTTTATATTAAAAATAAATATCCAAAATCTTATTTAATCAACCAGCTCGGCGACCTCATCAGCAACATTATTGCAGACATCCTCTCCAGTAAACTATTGTAGAAGGGATGATACACTGAAGGTATGTAGGGTAGTAATGATCTTATATTTTCGAGTGTTTCTATTTTGCATTCCGATTGTGCTCAATATAGTTCTGCTGTAAATCATGTACAGAAAGCACATTTGGACGACCCTTCTTCACAATAGTAACGGGGTTGTAGGTACCTTTCATAGAATGCTTAACGTAAAATACTTTTCTGTTATCACTCTTGGACAAATCCAAAGATTGCTAGTCATCAGCGCGAGTACTTTTTTAATGTTCTCTAAGAGGTGTTGTACATTGAGGAAATCTTCCTGCTTCATAACAGTTAAGGGCGTCTTTGTATTAAATTCTTTTACAATTTTACGCCTCTCCTCAGTATAGTATACAAGCTGAGCATACTTTCTATGTCGTTTTTCTTTAAGAGCAAAAACGTTTTCCGTCCTTATAAACATACGACCAGCGCCTTCCGTACATTCATGAATTCTTAGCTTATACATCCATATCTGCAATAAAATGCAGGACCATTGGTTAATTTGGGAATCGGTAACGCTTGCTCAAGTCAAACGATATAAGACGTGTTGTTACTTTGCTATAATCTTTGTTTTCTGATTTTGCTAACTCTATTTGGATATTAATTTTGTCGCATGTCTTGCAAGTGTCTGATTTTGGCAACTTGAATTCACTATTATACTCGTTACAGAATATTTTACGGAAAGTATACTTCTTAACTGATTCAATTCCCGCTTCTTTACACAAAGGAACGTAACGATCCGAATAGTGACTGGCTTTACTCATGTTATGGTCCAGGTAAACTTCATTCATGTTCTCTTGTCGACTGTAGTAATTTGTAGTTTGATACTTTGGAGTCGAATGTATGTGATTTTTAACACTTTGTTCATAGGGTTTGTATATTTTTCTCTGTTGTCTCTTTCTGGCACCAGATTTCCTTCTATCTTTTTGCGAACAATTTTATTAACTCTGCCCTTAGAAGTCCATGAGTATTTAAAAATTTTATTTTACAGACACGTGTAGTTCCACCAATTAACATTAATGGAGTAGACTGCATTACACTTTCTATGCGATTATTGATGTCTTTGCTCCTTTCTGCAGGAACTTTTCTTCTTAACAATATCTATACATCCGAATAACTGGTTATTGTGTAACTCCCATGAACCAAGGTTCCAAAACTCATTAAAAATATTGTTCTCGTGGTCATGAAGCTTTTTAATACACTTCTTAGTGCAACTACAAGGCAATCCCAATTCTCAACCAGGCACATTTTTTTGTCGCTTATCTATAATTGCCTTAAATTTCGTCGATTTTTTTAAATCTTGAATAACAGTGTTCATTTCTTTTTTATATATTAACAGTTTTGTCTTTTTTATTAATGGACCTTGTTCATTATCCCACAACAAAATGCAATAATATTACAGGCTATGTCACAAGCCACCACAATCATACTTTATTCTTAAATGGTAATGATGTGACAAGCCACATTTACCAAAAAAAATATTTACCGCTCTATTTTCATCACTTGAGTCACTTCTAGATTGTACATAGTCTGGATCACGGCCACTGTCATCAAACTTCAGTATTTTTCTTGCCAGAATCGTCAAAACTCGCAGAAATATCTTAATCGCTTCCACTCATGTTTGCCATTTTGATGTGGCTTGTCATTATGTCGAGTAGATATTAAGCCCTTAATCGATAACAAAATGAATGAAACCAAAGCCAAAACTGTGTGTAAAATTAGTTATTTTGACAGCCATTTTTCTCTGAATATTATTATTATGTATATTTTGTAAAGAAATCAATTTTATAAATTATTTTTCGTAATTTATTTTAATATAGATATCCAAACAATAAATTCTACTGATGAAATATATTTTTACATCCTGATTCCTGATTCCTTGAAAACTACCGGAAGGTAAGTGGAACTTCAAAACAATTTGCATATTTTATGTAATCTGATAAGACAGCAATCATTTTCGTGTTATTTCCTGGTATTAACCCCATATTCATAGCCATTGGAGACTTTGTTCAAACACTTCCTAATAAGTGTATCCAGAGAGACGGTTCTCCGAATTATTTGATTAACACAGTCCAGTAATTTAGCCGAGTAAATTAGTTCAGTAGTTTAGTTCAGTATTATAAAATGGCAGAGCGAAATTCACAGAACGTTTTTATTTATGTTAATTTTGTAGAAATTAAGTTATAGTCTAAAAACAAAAAGAAAACAAAGTGAATTGTAAACTTTCAATGACAAATAAATATACCATTAATGCAACAGAGAATTATCACGAATGTAAAACTATGCCAATACAGCCGTGGAAAAACAAAAAAACTGATTCAACAATTAATAGATGATAGAGGCATTCGTTAGCGACGACTTAACTAGATAATAAACTACATGAATTAGCATTCAGTCACGAAATAACAATGTTGCGATTGCTATTTTCACAATGTGGTAGTTTGGGACTGGTTTGTTAAGATGCAACAGAAGAGTACATTAGATTACTTTGAGAAATGGTAGGAATTTTCATTGACGATAAATTATTATTCGTTATTTAATTGTATTTGAATAGTTTATTATAATTATAATCATATCCAAGTATACCTCAAGAGGAGAAGGAGGAGAGAAGAGAACAAGGAAATGGTTTGACAGAGAATGTCAAGAAAAACTACACGACAGACAGATAAAGCGAAACATTATGCTTCAACCAGGAACAACAGAAAGTAAAGAAAACTATGTGGGGAGTTTTAAATATCTCTGAGAAACAATCACTGCAGATAACGATATCGCGGAAGAGATTAAAGAAAGAATTCAGGCAGCAAACAGTCTGAGACGTGGACTCTGACCAAAAAAACTGAAAGAAAACTTAGATGTTTTAAGAGGAAAATCCTCAGAAAAATCTTTGGGCCTTATCACAACATTAATAGCAACCAATACCGAATGAGAACAAATGCTGAGGTCAAGCAGATTTATAGAGCGAGTGACATAGTCCAAGAGATTAAATCCCAACCTCTAAGATTGGCTGGACATGTCCATAGACTCTCTAATAACCTTGCCAAGGTAATGTGGGAGGAAGTTCGCATAGGAAGAAGGCCTTTAGAACGTCGACGAATGCGATGGAGAGACAATATATATAAGAACAATGGGGCTACCCACTGACCCAACTATTATGGATGACCCTTCAAGATCGAAGCAAGTTGTGTAGTCAGCTAAGACCTACCCGGGTTGTAGTGCTACGAGAAGAAAAAGAAGTACGGCTCTGATTTTAATTGTTGTTAATAAAAAACCAGTGCGGTGTTGTGTTATAATACTAACTTTAATAAACAGGTATATCATTTTTTTTACTATGGTGAAAATACTAGTATAAAATTGCCAATTTATTGGAGCTGAAACTAAACACACTATGTGCTTCGGAAATTAGATCTAATCTCTTAAATCTTTTTTTTTTAAATAATATAATTAATGATTCTGGATGCATGTGAATACACCGTAATGCAAAAAAAAATAATTTGCCTTGATTCTGGTATACTGGTATGTCCTTTTTTTTGGTATATATGTGTATGTCTTACCCAGATTTAACGTTGACGTCAACCTCCGGCCAACTGGTTCTTCTGCAGCAAAAAGTGATTTGCTTATCGGGAGTAGCACGCGGTGATTTTTGCCGAAACGAGCCCGGTCGACGCGAAGGGCTTACGGGAATCGGACACTCCAGATTACTTTTGCGACGTTGGACGAGGGCGACGGCACCCGGAGTAGGAATAACTTTCGGAAAACCTGGAGCGTTGCCATCTGCTGAGTTGCTGCGGGAACCCGACGGTACAGCTGCAGCTTCGGCTGCTGTTTCGGTTCGAGAGAGCGAAAATCTGAAACAAAGAAAACCTTGAGTATATAGAATATAAAATAGAGGAATTTAATTATTATTTCGAACAAAAAAAAAAAAAAACAAAATTCTCTTAATATAAAAAAATATAAAAAGTTTTTCGGTCAATACTGTCACTGGAGCTAGAAAACTAGACGTTTATAGCTAAACTAGCTATTATAATTAGCAATTTTGCATGTTCATCCCCATCCATTTTGATATGTTTCGGGTTTATTAATTCCTTCCCCTTCACTCTTATAAAGCGCTATATATTTTTTTTGTGAACAATAAAAATCATGCTATTGTTCTATTTCAAGTTTGTGGGATTATCAACCTTGTCCTTGACAGCCATCTTAGAAAAAGGGGCAAAGGGTTATCGCGCTGTATCTTGTAAATTATCAACCCTACACAAAAGCGTTGTAGATCTACCCTAAAGCAGTATATTCCTATAAAGCCAGTAGATTTCAATACTTAGTTGGGAAAAGAATCCACACCAACTACTGAAACTCTAGGAAAACGGGTTGTTGAAACTCTACTTAACAGAAAAACACCAGGTCGCCAGATGTGTGTCTATGCTTTGATAGATTTTTCATGTTTAGGAACCCATATGGCCAATCAAGTAAACGTTTCTAAATTTTAAAATAACAAAATGTTAAGGGGTGATATGGAGTTTTTAGTTTCGTCCAAAGCAATTTTAGCGACTAAATGGGAAGATACGAAAGAAGTAATGCTGATATTCAATTGTTACAGTACAACTGTTAAAATTATTAACTTCTTTCTTCTTTAAGTTCCATCTTCTATCGAAGGTTGGAAATTATCATGGCTATGCGGACTCTGTTGACTGTCGCTCTAAAAAGTTCTGCACTACTGCATTCAAACCATTCTCTCAAGCCAGGATATTCTTTGTCTTCCCACATTTCGCTTTCCTCGGATTTTGCCTTGCATAATAAGTTGTAATAATGCGTATTTTTGCCCTCTCATCACATGTCCAAGTACTCAAGTTTTCGTCTCTTGTTAGTTAAGATTATTTCCGCCTCATTTCCTATCCTTCTAGTTACTTCCACTTTTGACATTTTTTAAATCCATGATATTCGTAGGATTCTTCTGTAACACCAAAATTCAAAGGCGACCAACTTTTTAAGATAGACTTGTTTTAGTGTCCACGCTTCCAAGCGATAAAGAAGAGTAGAGAACACGTAACATCGAAGCATTCTTAGGCGTAGTTCTAACCTTATATCCCGACAACAAAGAAACTTTTTAAGTTTAATGAATGATGCATGTGGTATTTTAATACGTATCTTAACTTATTTGGTTTGGTCTACATCTGATGATATTCATGTTCCAATAGTCAATTGGATATTTGCATGAGCAGATTTAGTCATGATCGTGCATTTAGTTTCCTTTAAATTTTCTTTAAATTCAGTCCGTACTCATGACAGCGTTCAATAAGGCGTTGCATTACGTTCTGTAAATCATTGTTGTTATTCGTCATTATTACTGTATTGTCTGCAAAACGTAAGTCATTCAAAACTTCTACATTAATAGATATACCTTCTATTAAGTCTGAGAGCGCTTCCTGAATTACCCCTTCACTGTAGACATTGAAAAGTAGTGGGGACAGCACGCAACCCTGGCGGACTCCTCTCTGTATTTTGATATTTTTGGTATACTGGCTCTCAGTACGTCAGTAAGAGTGTCAACTCTTACCTTGGCAGTTTGATTCCAATATAAATTAGATATAATTTTCATAAAACGACTGTCAATATTTTTGCTTTTTAATATATCTCCAAGCTTTTTATGTTGAACCTTATCAATTGCCTTTTGAAAGTTTACAAAACATAAGTACATGTCCTGATTCATATCCATGCATCTCTGAGCCAGCACATTCAAGCCGAACAAAGCATCCCTTATACTCATACCATTTCTAAAGCCAAATTGTGTGTCACTAATTTCATATTCAAGAGTTTTAACAATTCTGCTGTGAATTATTTTCAAAAAAGTTTTAAGTGTGTGACTCATTAAAGCTATTGTTCTGTGATCTGAGCAAGTTGTTGCACTTGGCTTTTTGGGAATTGCTACAAACGTTGATTGCAGCCATTGTCTGGGGATTGTGGCAGTCTGATATATTAGATTAAAGAGTTCTTCCATTACATCAAGAACATCTTCATCGATGAGTTTGAATAATTCGATGGGCACATCATCTGGTCCAGTAGATTCACCCTCTTTTGTGTTTTTGGTGGTATAGATGACTTTTTCTCTTAATATTGGTGTTCCGGTATCCTCGGTGATTCCTAATGACAGTTGTCCTCTTTCATCATTAAACAATTGTTGGATGTAATTAATCCATTGACATAATCTCTCCTCCATATCAGTAATATCCACTCATTTTTAAGGATATTCGTTCTTGTACGTTTTCTAGAACTTTCCATTTCTTTGATTTTTGTGTGTAAATAAAGCTATCATACTTTTTATCCAGATCTATTATTTGCTTGCATCTGTCAGAGAGCCACCTCTCTTTTGGCGCTCGAATTTTCTTTCTGACGTTTCTTTGAATTTCTTTGTATTTATTCAGGTCTTTTGCTTTATGTTTTCTTCGTTTTTCCTCGTTCGTTCATCTCCTTCGTTATTCTTCTTCGTAAAATTATTAACAGAAAGCAGAAAACTGGAGGAAAAACTGAATTTACTTGTCCAGAAGCTATTATTTTTTACAATAATTTATTGTGAGGAATCTTCTCTTAAAGTTTTTTAATTATTTCTTGTTCCACGTACCGATTTGAAGAATATTTTTTGTTTTCTCGCGTTGATAGACTCTTATATATTAAATATTGATTATAATTTGAACCAATATTTATGAGTTCTTTCATTTTTAAATTTAAATTTTACTTAAATGACATAAAAAATTACCTATCGTAACATTTTTATTTTTAAATAATTTCTTATATCAGATTTTTTTAAAAATATTTTTTAAATAGTATATTAATTTGAACTAGGAAATGTATACAGCATACAAATCGTTATTTAGAATGAATTATCGAACAGTGCAGAAACAATTCTCGAAAGCGATTATTCCGGAGAATCTTTTAATCATTTTTTAATCACAGAAGTTTGAGAAGAGCATCGCAATACTTCGACGATCAAGTTTCTGGCCTTGTTATGTTCGGCCTTTAATCAAGTGTTTCCTAGAGTCTCGCAATTTCCTGACGGGTTATTCCCTCGAAGGCTTTGCAAATGGTTTCAAAACTTTATATCCAATTACATTAAGTTCACAACTGTTGACCGAAATATTAAGTAACTCCGATGCAGTAGGGAAGTTAATAAAAAAAGTTATGGCATCCGTTTTCTTAATCGTTGATCGTCAAACGAATAAAGAATTAAGAAAGAAGATTACGCGTTTGTTGGTTTGTCCATCAAAAATTAGAATCGGATAAAAACTTTGAGTTAATTCAATAAATTTCAACATTTTTTTAACATTACCAATTTTATGCCACAAGAGCTATTACACTACACCATTATTCTCTATTTAAAAAACTCTTTAAGATAAAGCGCTTTAAAATAGATTACCATTATATAAGAAAGTAATAAAGATGTTCAACAGTCAGTATTTAACATTATTACATGGCACAGTTTTGTGGTCAATGAAGCCTGCTGCTTCCAAAATAAACAAAAACTTATTATATTTAATTATAACAATATGGAATTTAGTATACCTCAATCATTATCAATTTAAGGTAACGTTTCTAAAAACTTTTGACGATTCAGTCATTTGAAATTTACCTCTTGGCTAGTGGCAAGGCGGAAGGAAGACATAGTGAAAATTGCTATACTGTTAAATTTTTTGGGAGATGATGGACTTGATGCGTTTACCACCTTAAAGTAAAAAGAATATGATCTACGAAAGATTTTTATTCGACAATAGAAAACAGGAGGAAGGAGAGTTATATGATACTTACCTAACTGACTTATATAAAGTGGCAACAAATTGTGAATTTAGAGTTGTTCTAGATTGAATGATCAGGGAAAAACTAGTTTAAGGACTAGTTTAACAGTCAATAAAGGTTTACAAGAAGAAATGTTGCAGAATCATGAGCTAACCTTACAAAAGGCAATAGACATCTGTAGAGCACATAAAATTTCAAAAATACAAATTAAAGAAGTTCAGTCAAGTCAAACCTTAATATTCATTCTATAAAAGGGGAAATGGTAATCAAACGGCAAGGGTAAAAGCTTCAAATAACAACTAATACTGGAAAAAGCAGAAATGGAAACAGGAGGAAAACTCAAAGAAAAGTGGTCAGTCCAAAAAATGTGGCCATGCTCATGATTTCCGAAGGTGTCCAGCATTTGGTAAAATTGTCAATAAGTGTTTGTATTACAACCATTTCGAAAAAATGTGTAACAGGATCTTAAAAAAGTTCAGGAGATTCAAGAATTGGTTATGCACAGTGAACAGCAAGAATTTATGATAACATCAATTGAGGTAAATAAAAAAATGGAAATAAGGAATGGTCTAAAAGGTTAGTAATTGAGCAGTATGAAAGAGACTTACAAATAGATACAGGTTCACAGGAAACTTTTTACTTTTTAAATAAAATCAATGAAAATCATAATAAAATCAGTGCAAAATTAGGTTAGAAATATGGGGGATTTAAAATTAAACCTGTTCGTATTATTTCACTAAAATGTTTATTTAAAGGGAAAATATTTCAATAGTTATAGTTATAATAACAATATAATATTTATATTTAAAGATAACCTTATGTCAATTTTAGATTCAAAATCGTGTTTAAATTTAGATTTGATACAAGGAGTAGATAACATGGATCTAAATATAACAAAAGATGACTTTATTAAACAAAATATTGATGTATTTACTGGATTAGATAAATGTCCTCAAAAATGCAAACTAAAACTTAAAGAAAATTTTATTCCCATAGCTAAGCTACCACGAAGGGTATCTTTAGCCATTAAGGAGATATTTTAAAAATAAGGTTAAATTTAGAAAAA